ATTTTGCAGCAGAGGATCCTCTCGGCAGAACTACAGGTAGGTTGGAGGCGTGCCCGACCGAGGACCTGGCCAAGGCTTGACCCTTACCGATGTTCCATCGTACGCCGCCTCTCCCCCCATTTGTGTCCATCGCTCTTTGAGCGTATTTCAGCAAAGCCCGACATACGGGTCAATCGTTACGTCCTCGTTGTTGGAGGCCCGGCCCTCCGTGCGTTGCTGGGTGTATTTTCATTGATTGCAGTTACAGCGCGGTTTCCCCGCCCGGGTCATCACGGCTTTTTGGTTGTTTAGTTCGCCAGAAGTGCGATTAGATATCCGACGGAGCGCTGGCGATTATCGACTATTAGGGCAGCCGTCTCCCCTGTCCCCTACAAACCCCGTCCTACATTGAGAGCTTTTGCTCTTCTTTCTTGTGCACTTGCTGAATATTCTGGTACTTCCTTCTCGTTTTTCTGAACATATTTGCCAGGTTTCACGATGCTTGTCCGTGATTACCTCATTGAATAGCTGTTCTTCTCCCACAAATGGCCTACTCGTTTGATGTAGTTCCACACGTTTCTCGTTTTTGCTCTAGTATTGGTGTGACGCTTGCTCCCCCCCCCCTCGTCTTCGTGTGCGTCTCCCCCTCACGGGTGCTACCTTACGGTGTCGAGAGCCTCGGCCTCCTCGTTGGTGAACGTTGCTGGCATCGTGCTACGAGAAACGGCCAATATATTCCAGGTGAATTAATCGGTTCCCGCCGGTTTTGAAATCTGCGGTATGAACGTACACATTCGTGCAGCGTATTCTTGTTAGTCACAAGCATGTTTAGCGAGAGTTAACTTGCTTCTTGGACGGAGCGCAGCGTACGTTTCTGGACTTCTCCGCTTGCGTGACCAACCATTATCTGATATGAGCCGGCGGCAGCGTACCCGCCTGTTGCTTTCCCGGTGACAGCATCGCGTTACCCGTTGCTAGGCTACTTTTTGATCTCGTGTTTCACTGAATATGGGAAATCAGGTTGGTTTGGTAGTGCAAAGGCAGCTTGGGTCTCCTCACTGAGTAAGGTGCTGTCGAGACGGTACTTGGGTGTGCGGCAATACGACCTGATGCGCGCGTAAAGAACCTGATGATACGACAAATCAAACGATTGTATTGGCCTAGTATTCGTTCAAGGTGGCTTTCGCACCCTGTTGTGGTCAACCACTTCCAAGCCGTAATTTGGCACACAGCATCCTCTTGACAGTGTCTTACTAGAGCTCTCGGTGAACTCTTGAAATTGGCTCTCAACTCGACGTCCGTGTTGTCTGCTGGTGCTCCGTTTCTGAAATCATTGGTCGGTCAGCTCCCCCCAGCGACTCGCAGCTACTATACCCCCCTACCTTCCTTGCTATCCATGTCCCGTGCTAATGTCGCATAGCTGGTCACGCCTGGGGGCAAGATGTTGACAATCCCCAAGCGATCGTGTGCCGTCCGCCTCGCCTTTGGCGATCGAGTGGTTACCCTCAATGGGGGGGCTTTGATGGGTCGGCGGGGAGGAGGAGCGAGGCAACAACAAAAGGCGGGAAAAGGGCGGGGTCCCGGGGCGGGAGGGCGTTCAGACGACCCCGCCGCTCTCCCGCTCCCGACGGCCGCGTTGTAGTGTTGATCCTGCGCTCTTGTTCTCAGCTGCTGTTGGAAATGAGACAAGTCAGTCGGTGAGTCATGGGGAGTCGAGATTTTTTTGCCACGCCCTGCGTGGGTTTGTGAAACAGGATGGCTTGCAGGGAGGGGCATTGAGCAGGGAACCACTAGTAGGAGGTCTTTTAAGCAGAAGGTGCGCGCAAAGGAACGCGTATCATACGAGGCACAATTCTGTGGTTGGAGAGGAGCCTATATGTCGGGCATGCGAAGATTGTTGCAGCACGGCGTGCGGTGTGACCACCAGAGGGGCGACCTCCACCACCGCGCAAGCTGTGTAGCGATGTGATGTCGGACGCGGTGTATGGCGGAGTGTCGCATGGGTGGTGGTGGGATGCCATTCCAGCGCTTCGCCAAGGCCAAACAGAAAACGAAGCACAAGCGCGCGATGCCATACTTTAGGGGCCGGATGGAGAACAAGACTCCCCGACACACATATGGTGCTGTAGTCATGGCTGTGATATTTGGTCCACTCCGTAGTCGTTGGCCGACACCAAAACAAACGAAAACGTGATCATTAACAGTGCAAGAGAAGTCAGAAGCACGCCTCACGATCAGGCGGTGCTCGAATTCTGAAGCCCCTCGAGGGGTTTCGTTTCTCCTGCCATGAGAAAGTCAAGCACTGTGTGGCGGGCTTCAGAGACTCACTGGCCGAGGCTACAATATCCCCGGGCCTGCTACCACAACATCTCGTCAGTCGAGTAACTCCGCCCAGAACTTCGATGACAGTCGACTCCCCACGGGCGCACCATTGCCACCACCCTTCTCCTTCTCCTTCTCCTTCACTGCTTCGCTCAATACTCGCGCGGCAGCCGCCAAGTCTCGCGACCGTTCAGGGTCTTCTTCTCCAGCAGCGTCTTGGACGTCTTGGGCGCCGGTTGGTGGTTGCGGCGGCACCGTCGGCGGGCCCAACTTACCCCCTGCGGGATAGTCTACGTGATAGATACGCAGAGGAAAGGAGAAGCTGGCTGTCAGCCGATTTCCCAGTAAGCGCATGAAATTCACAGAAGTTGTTTAAGATGGAAGGATCGAGGCTTCACGACGCTGATTCTAGAGGTTTCAGTTGCGAACACACCCCACGATCCGTTGAGGAAAGTCGACTGGTACAGCTATTTGATGCCACAACACACAGGTGCGCCCCTGGCGATAACATCGACATGTAGTCGTCAGTACTGCCAACGTTTTACCCCCCAAATCGCAGCACTTGGCACTAAAAACGCGTCAGGACTCTCCACGAGCTACATACGGTCGCCGCGGTGGTCTAATGGTATCCTCATAATCCGCTAGTCGCAGAGGTCGTGGGTTCGAATCCCCATGCGGTGATAAATTTACGAAATTTGCGGGTGAAAGCGGGTGAAAGCGAAAGATAGCTAGCAAGCTCCCGCGAGTACCATACTTCGACATTATTAGCACCGTTGACGAGGGAAAGGGACGGCTGGACCCTTCTCGCGATACAAATAAAATTCAGCACGCACCGCAGGAGGAAGGTGGGGCATGAAAAGAAATGAAAAGAAGAAAAAGGCCCTGGTGTTTACCCCCTCCTGTCTGACCCTGGATGGTTGTAGTTGTACGAAGAAATACACTGAAAAGTGTAGTGCTCGACATGCGCTGAAAAGTGTAGAACACGTCTCACCACGAAAAATGGGGTTACTGTCGCCATAAAAAATAGGACGAAAACTCACACAACACACACAGACACTCATGCGCCTTGAATAAAAAACAAATCTATGGCACGACCTCGACAGCACACGGGAGGGCAACATACAGAGCAGGGCGAAGCTTCAGAGAGATTCGCATAGCCCGGTCAAAGAGTGAAACAGTAAACGGGCTTCTCCTCGAAGAATCGCTTCATCTTCATTGTTGGAAAAACCCAGCAGATGGCAAACATTGGGTGCATACCTCCTGCGAATCTCGTAGATACTACATAGTCTCTATGCAACGCCGTCCTTGGCAAGTCTTATCTGGGTTTCACTGTTCCCATCGATATACCATGAGACTTCCTGCTTGGGCACGCCCTATCCTGTGCGGGTTCTTACTCTTACGATCATATGCATGGGACTCCCTGCTTCGGCAATCCTAATGTGGGTTCACTCTTGGCGTCAATTTACATGGGACTCCCTGTTTGGGCAAAGCCATATCTAGCTTCACTCTCCCCATCAACATTAATGGGTCTCCCTGCTTCGTCAAAGCCTAATGCGGGTTCACTCTTGGCATCAATAAACATGGGACTCCCTGTTTGGGCAAAGCCATATCTAGGTTCACTCTCCCCATCAACATTAATGGGACTCCCCTTCGGCAAGCGTAATGTGGGTTCACTCTTGGCACCAATTTACATGGAACTCCCTGCTTGGGCACGCTTTACTTTGGTTCAATCTTACCGTCGAAGTCTACGTACTCTACTCCGTCGTCTTGAGGCTGCTTCTTCCTGGCCTCTCTCTCCTTTTCCGCACGGTCGATCTGACAACAAAGGAGACATATGTGTCCAATAGGAGCGGCGAATTTCGTCACGAATATGTAGCTTTGGCACTTATTCAGTAGATAGCCCGAAGAGCATAACTGTGTGAAGCAGCACAACTCCTCGAATCCATTGAGGGCTTCTTCGCCAAGGGAGAAGATTCTAAAACGGTGAGAAACGAGACATTCCGGCGACTTTGTGGTTGTGAACACAAAAGTTATTCCTCGACAAAAGTGAAGAACAGGGATCAGAAAAGCCCTAGAACACGATCAGAAGTATTGACAATGTGGAGAACACCACGGCAGAATTCGTAACGACTGCTGTAAACTTCCTTTAAAAAACAACAGTATCGTGCCGTTGGAATGTCGCCGGTTTCCCTGTAGCATGCCGGTTAAATCGTGTAGCACAGATGGAATATTCAGGTCACTTCACGCTCTGAATACTGCCGGTTGCCCGTATGAAGCCAGCAATATCGCCTGGATAACGCCGTTGAAATCGGCTGAATCGCACCGGTATCATACCGGGACCACATCACTCGTGAGCACCCGCGAAAACAATCTCTCGAGCAGGGCGTGGTCGGTCAATGACGGAAGCGAGTTCGTTCCGCGGGCGTTGTTTACATTGTCGAAATGAAAAAAAAAGTACAACACCGAGAGTGCCGGTAAACCTGGCAAAGATACACCCTCGCTCGCGCGCAGCACCTGAAGCTGCATGCGAGACTACGGAAAACACGTAGTCTAGCCCCGGGGCTTCACTTCGGCGTACCTATTGTAAGCGGAAAAGTGAACACGTTCGTCTCGAATCTATCTCAGGTTAAGATGCGACCTCTTCAGTCGTTCTTTCACTTTTGCTCAAGGCAATGTCTCAAGCTGTCTGCGTCCCCGGATTCTGGAGCGCAGCTACATATCAAGAAATCAGGTTCCAAGTCGTTGTGTCTTTTTATCGAGGAAATCGACACCAAGGCACAGGCCGAAGAAGTCCGACCGTGACATGGAAAAATCGCCCAAGCTATGAAGACTCACTTTTTCTTTCCGCTGTTGTTCGCGAGTGTCGATCATGTGCTGCGAGACGATGTCAGCTCTGTGGAACCGCTCCTCGGGCAGGCTTTCTCCCTCGCCAATCGGCTCTTCTTCTTGCTTTCGATCTACTCCTTCGGGTAGGAGGTCGTGGTTGTTGTCCGCATCGTCCCCCTCCGCGGCTCCAGTGTATTGGTTTACCCCTGCCTCAGAAGGTACACCCACAAGGTTGTCGGAAATCGAAACGGAGAGCCAGAAAAACAGCCCCATTCAAGGAAAAGACGTTCACCCATCCCCTTCGGCCGTGGTTTTCACCTCGAACGGCTAGTCTATCTCTTTTTGTATGTGTACTTTCGAAGTACTGTACTACGTTGACATTTGCATTCAATGCATTTTGCGGGCGAGCAGCACGGCTGTCTTTGCGACGTCTTGCCGGGGAGAATCGAAACGCTTGGAATACACAAACACGCCGAAGCACCGCTGGAGATGACGAGCCAAAACCACTCCTACCCGGCGGCAGCCTGAGATGGAAGCGATCCTCCGGCAGAGCATCATCGCCGTCTTCCGAGCCCTTCCCGCCTTTCGCAGAGCTAGACGCCGTTACGCCCCCTCCCCCTGACACCCGCCCTGCCTTTCGCTCGCCACCGCCCTCCAGCGCGCTCGAGAGTAGCCACGGCTTGGACCCGACATCCGCTCGTTTCGTGGGGTCTGACTTGTCGACATCGATGCTTACGACTAGGGTGCCCTCGTGGCTGTTTGTTTCGGCGGATGCCGTGGCTGGGAGTGCGGCATAGGGCAGCCGGACCTGAGAAAGCAGCATGAGCAGCAACAACAACAGTTGGAGTGTGGTCGAAACGATGCTGTGAGGGTTAGGCGTTGTTTGATGGAATCAAAGTCGTGCATGAGAAAAAAGGCTGCATCAATAAAAGCGCTAAGATGGAAAAGATACGTGAATCACCTCTTGCCAGCCGCTATTATATAGAATAGACACACTCCACAACACGCACGCGCGCGACTGCTTCAACCAGGATCCAGCCGCAGCAACAGCAGCAGCAACAGGAACACCACTTGTCGAAATCAAAAACGAGGGTGACGGCGGCCTTCTTTCCGACGAAAAAAAAAACTAGACTGTGTGCACCGTTGCAGGAACGATGTAACACTTGCGGAAAGTGTTCCATATATTTCATTCACTGCATAATCAGAAGAGCCGCAGCAGGCGGTAGTGTTCCCCAGGTGCGTGCCCCCCCCCCTTTGCGGGGAGTTGCGGGGGGAACAAAAATACCCCAAAACGTAAAGAGAGTGCCGCCACAGGCTTAAGACTCATAGCACAACCCGCAGCAGTGCGGAAGCTTTTCCCCCCTCAGTGCCAACAACAGTACCATGTAAAATCGAAACAGAGCTCACTACTCCAAAAGTCGCACGTGCCTGTAGAGAAAACGCTACACCGGCACAGAGGAGCAGATTTCATCACCAACGATGCTGAGACTTTTATTGCGCCCAACGTTCATTCCGCCGCCAACACGCAACGCCCCGCACCCGCCCTCCTCCACAATGATGGAACAGAGCACGACTTGCCTGCAAATGAAGATGACCCGGTGCCTTCAAGGTGACCTCGTACGCCGATGCTTCGACTCCGATCTGTCCCCGGAAACAAGCACAGGAGTCCGGCATCGAGTGCACATCGTCATGATGAAAAATGTTACGCGGGGGAAAGGCAATTAAAGAGAAAGGGGAGGAAAGGTCACGGCAAGGGCACTGTTTGAGCACGACAAGAACACCGAGCGAAGGACACAGTAGCTTGCACTGGAAAATCGATGCAAACTTTGTGCGTACCAACGAACACAGCGATACTTGAGCAGAAAGAAAATAACTAAATACATGGGTTGGTCCGCAGCACTACAGTGCTGGTGTGCCCCATCTCGACTACTCGCTCCGCGGTGCCCCCAGGTCAAGGCGCACAACATGGCGGCCGCAAAATGCCCGGGAGCCGAGCATTTGAAGCGGGGTTAGAGCTTGAAGGACCAAAACGACCTATCCTGCCACCAAATGGCCACGGCAGACAGAGGCGCTCAGCGCTGTGGGTACAAGGGATCTAACTCGGCTGGGCCATTCGGACGTTCCCCTTCTTACTCGGAAATAGAGTTTCCCTGGATCCCGAGCGGTGTCGACGGTCCTGAATAGCGGACTCAACACACAGCAACGCGCCTAACAACTGGGGGACCACGCGGGTCGTGCGCTAGTCGTCCGCAGCACATACCTTGTCGAGAGCATCAGGGGCGAGGGCGTCCGGTCTCAGCCCAGCGGCATTCACGACCAGTAAGTCCGGCCAATGCTCCAGAGGTATTCGCACGGTATTTTCCAGAGATGTAGCGCTGACGTCGGACTCCCGCTCCTCCGTAAGCCCTCCACCACCACGAGACCAAACGGCCTGCCAACGCACGATGTTGTTGAATACACGTTTGTGGATAGGTTGGCGCACGATTCGGGAGGGCCTTGAGCTTTTCGTGTAGACGAAATGCACGAAGAAAACAATAGGGGGATCTCCGGAAATTAGCCCGATGGATGACGTGGATTCAAAAATGTCGGGATGGGGAAAATAACTCGCTGTACAGCATGCAGCATGGGACGGTGATGGACGATTGATGTTGTGGTTGTTGTCTTGAAAAAAAAAACACCGACGTCGATCGATCCAGCAACCCCTCCTCGGTGCTCAAGGCCAAAAACCCAATTTCCATGGCCACAAGCTACTCCAAGACACAAAGAAAAAATCAAGGACCAGAAAGGGCATCATCACTGTAACCTGGCCTACGACACTACCCACTCGTGCAACACACCAAGACCAACACCTTTCCTCCCGCAGACGGGCGAGTAGCTTGTACCTCTTCTACACGTACTGTAGACGCACACGTTGCCGCCTCTGTCTCTCTGTGATTCGCAGCCCTTTTCAACTCTACGCTGAGCTTCAGCCAGGGACACCCCTTACCGTCACGGTCGACTTGAGCGCTGTCACCGGAATAGTCGAGGCTCGTTTCCTCGCTGACCCTCCAGCTGTCGATCGCATCCCGCCCTTTCCACCGGCGGCGGTGGAGGTCCCCGTAGGCTGCTCCTTGCCGCCGCCTGCACGGACCTCGCTTATCTGTGGCCTGACAGAGTCGTCTCTGATCCTCTGCTTCGCCGGCCCCTCTTCTTTGTTGCCTTTGAAGCTGCGAACACGTGTCGAAAAGTTAACACACTTGCTGTCGATCAGGTTATCGGGAGAGTTGTACCTACAGGACAATTCGAAACGAAGGCATGGCATCCCCGAAACTACCGGTTACGATTACTGGCACTCTCCACAGACACTCTGCAGTAAAGAACGAGGGCAGAGTCTTCCTTTCGCGAAGTATTGCCCCCGGGAGAAAACAGAATGACCAGTCGCTGCTGCTGCTGTTCCTGTTGCTACTACGGAATGTGGGAGGAAGCGTCAATGTCGTTTGTTGGGAAACGGTTTCATGGCACACAAAGTGTTCGGCTTCAGTGGGACGTCCTGCTGTCGCTACCATAGCGACACAGGTGCTACGTTCCTCACGTTAACTTCGGTAGCTTGTATTTGGGGTCTAGCCGGCAGTCGTGCTTGGACATGACGGACTGCATCGCCAAGTGGCACACCCAATCCCGTTGGCCACCGGTTTTGTCCGCGCCACACTCTTCGATAGTCTGGCGGAACCACGAATTGCACACGAGTCAGAGTGGAGCCAAAAAGGTCATGCGGAATGCAGGTGTTAGCACAATATTCCACCCCTGCCGCATTGTGACACGTGCAGCGTGGTACGCTATTCTTCGGGGGAAATTAAAACAGCAACACCATGATCTGCCACAATATTCGAACGCACATAGAGGGAGCCGGTCGCCCCGGTGGTCTAGTTGGTAACCTCGAAACCTTCTAAATAGGGGGTTCGAATCCCGGCGTAAGCGGACTTTTCTTGCAACGTGAGTTTTCCTCTCGTTTCCGCTCTTGGCCCAGTGGATAGCGCTAGTTCGTGTGTACACAGAGGGAAGAGAGTGCTGAACTCTTCTCGCATGAAAAATCAAAGGCAAAGTAGCGCAAGAGGGGAGGGTAGAGAGGGGCTCTTCTGTGTGACCACGGGTTGGAGTAAACGGCACTCGTGCTGTGAGGGCTGATTTGAAGTGAAGGCGAAAAAAAAAAAAGAGTGGGGATTCGTTTTCTTCGCCGAGCTGAAGAAAGTGATTAGCCACGGATAAGTTCTAAGGGCGCACCTTCGGGTTGATGATGACGTCATACACGATGCACTCTAGCCCGGCGTTGTCCTTGTCTACGGACGGAGGTCCTACGCTCATCGGGATGTTCAAGCCTTCCACCTGCCAATGCGGAACGTGATATCGCAGGAAACGGAGACAAGGGCCATTGTCAATGGAGGAAAGGCATCAAGTCACAGCTCACGACGTGATCGAGCCCCGCGGAAAGAACCACGAACGCATCTCCGAGATTTACAATGAGACTTCAAATACTATCGATATGGAAAATGATGATGCATACACGTGGCCGAAAGGATGCTAAAGGGAAAGGGGGGACATATTCGAGTATTCCAAGAAATACATAAATGCCGTCAACAACGCAGAACGCATCTTGTCGCTATCAACCATTGGCTAGATATTTAGAACGATCATCGCCAAATGAGGTTGTGGGATTGAAGAAAACAGACATTCGAAACGGTACATGGCACGGCTCATCGTCCCATCATAAGCCTAGGCGCTTTTGCCAGTGCTCTTGAATGAGCTTGGTACCATCAGTTTTCATGAACCCTGCGCGTGACAAACCGAATACGGCTCGCGCCAACACGCCAAATAACCCCGACCTATCTCGCCCTCTACCCTCTGATATCGCCGGTCATTCACAACGAGATTCCGACAACCAATCGAAACGCAACCTGCCGCACACCTCTTGGCCTTCCTTGTCTAGCTTCTTGACCATGCTCGACTCGCCGATGCGCTCGTGCTGGCAGACGTTGACGAACACTTTCATGCCCTTGTCAACCAACTTCGTCTTGATAACGAAACCAGGCCGCGGTGAAATCTGTGCATGAGCGGAGGAGCACCGGAAAGCGAACAACAGCCGAAGGAGCAGCAGCAGGACTCAGTCCGACTGCCCAAGAGCCCCCCCCAATCGAACTGGTGGAAGCTTCTCGTTGACGAGGGATTTTCAAGTCCCAGGAGACATTTCAGTAGTGGGTTGCCGTTGAGTGGTGTTGGGCTTTGCCCTCAGATTCCAAGCAAGGTAAAGCACACCAGTGTTTCGTTATTAGCTGTCTACACAGACCATATTATGTCCTTAGCATGGTGGGCTGTTGTTGGACTCCTCTTTCGTTGCACTCGGAACGCTGGCGTTTGCACGCAGAAAAAAAAAAGGACTGCAACGCCCCCATTTCTTGCACCAATTGGCCACAACTGATTGCATTCCGTGCCCTGGAGAAAATGCGATGTATTCTTGTCGAATCCTACTTTCGTTCTCAGTGGGCCTGCGGCATATCGGGTGGCATACTTCTCTATGTGCAGCCGTTCAACGTACGACGCAGATGGGGCAAGGACCAACAAAGGTCACCGTTTCGTTTCTTTTCCTTACCACGATGCCGTTCGTTTTTTCCTTCACTCCCCCTGCGCCAAGCTTGGCCCCGCCGGGTAGATTGATGTCCATGTCCACACCGTCCTTGCTCTCGCCTTTTCTCTTGCTGGCGCCGGTTAGCTCAGACGCTGCATCCATGGCCCGCCTTTTTTCCGCCCGGGCGGCGGTCAAATACTCGTCCCCTGATGAAGTAGGTTATAGAAACGATTCAGTTACACTGCTGTGTGTGTGTGTGTTTTCGTCCTATTTATTATGGCGACAGTGCCCTCATTCTTCGTGGTGAGACGTGTACTACAGTTTTCAGCGTATGTAGAGTACTACACTTTTCAGTGTATTTTTTCGTACAACTACAACCATCCAGGGTCACATTGGAGGGGGTAAACGCTAGGGCTTTTTCCTTCTTTATATTTCTTTTCATGCCCCACCTTCCTCCTGCGGTGCTTACAGAATTTTATTTGTATCGCGGGAAGGGTCCAGCCGTCCCTTTCCCTCGTCAACGGTGCTAACGTCGAAATTTGGTGCTCACGAGAGCTTTTGAGCTATATTTCGCTTTCACCCGCAAAATTCGTAAATTTTTTACCCAACGGGGATTCGTACTCACGACCTCTGCGACTAGCGGATTACGAGGATACCACTAGACCACCGGGGCCACCGGTCCGGTGTGTGACTGAAGGGGAACCATGCACTTTAATACAATCGAATCTAAAAAAACAAGCAGGACAAAAAAAAAACGTTCACCGCCGGACAGCCTTGTCATTCTCGCATCCGGGGAGATGAGAGTCATGCTGCTGCCGGGCTATCGGGGGGGTGGCAGTGGGAGGGTCGGCGTTTCATGGGTGGATAGGTTTGTATGAAGATCCAGACGCACCACCTCAAGGGTTTGACGTTTCGCTGCAGGTGCCTGATTGATGCAGGGTATTCTAGGAGCGTTGAACTCGTTTCTGTACACCTGCTTGCTGTCAGAAGGCCGTGGGCAATGCTGCGTCCGACGGGGGGGGGGGGGGGGGGGG